AAAACATATTTTGGAGATAGATTCATAATTTATTGCAAAAAGTAAATATAGAAAAGCTGTTACATATAAAGATCGTGTTTGTGGCTATAAAATCAGATAAATATTACTTTGGCTTCAACTATCATATAACTATTATTGGATATTCAATTTATAAATCCTACTAATTATCTGATCAGAAAATGCAAGGACTTGATGTATTTTGTCTATTCATTAGAGAATTTACAAAATGAATGCGTTATACTAAAAAGTAGGAAGAAGTTAAATTCTTAGTTAATGTCAAAAAACATTTATTAAATTGATGTTTTATAATTTATTGATAAAATCTTCACGAGGAGCTGGACTTGTTGAAGACAATATAACTAGCAATTGATGGAAATCAAGAATTATATAAAAAAAAGAAACTATATACCGTCTGCTGTCTTATGTAAACATTTCTACTATTGTACCGACGAACAGTAGTCTTTTATTAACAATTGAATTCTTTCAAAAATACTATTTGTATCGTAATGAACTTTAAAATAGACCTAATTTATAGAAGTACACTTGTAATTTCCTAAAGGAAGAAGCTTGTGTATAGTTTAAACATTCACCTTTAAAAAGAAATTCTCATAATGATACAAGGAAACCATCATTAGCTATTCAACGAATTATTGTGGACGGACCTCATCTGCACAATGGATACCTATTTCTGATTAATAAATAAAATCAATTGGTTTATTGCAGAGAAAAGCATAATATTTTTTTTCAAATATGAAAATCTAATCTTTGGCAAGTTTATTTTTACGTGTTGATATTGAACACAATATCACTGTCGTTTCAAACGCATAACAACGCAACTGCTGTTATTTATCATTAGACCTTTGGTAAAATAACGTTGAATGGTAAAACATGTTTAAAATTAATACGCTTACAAATGAAATAAGAGCTATTTATTAGCAACAGTTTATCATAAGAATGCACATCAGACAAGCAGGTATATGATGTATTAAAATCCTTAACAGTGGCATTCACTATGATAAGAATAGAACCATCAATCACGTCCTTTCCTGTGTATTTGATAGTAGGAGAGACCTTGATAAAGAATAACATCAGATAGCTTCATCTATGTAGTTTTATGTGTTCCTACTGCTGAAGTATTGCAGTACAATGTCACATTCCTTCCATATATCTTAGGTTGATCTGTTTCTTTCCAGTATACTGTAAAAAGATCAAATCTCCTTCGTATTACAAACCATTTACAGACATCAGAATACCAATAGTTTCTTATTATCATTAAACCAACTATGTGTAATAATGCGTTCTTGTATTGATTACATATTTTTTGTTATGTACTATAACTCAATAACATTTATCCTGTTGACACTTGACTTTTCAAAGGATCAATTCACCAGAAAAAGTTTAATCAGATGAGGAACTTCACCCGTTTAATTGTGGTGTTACTGATTAAAATGTCATTCAGTCCGTTGTTCTACATCCGTATACGTTTCTGTTACAGTCATAATCTACCAAAATCAATTTAAACTTGACTTCCTGACTTATCATTTAACATTTAAGTTAATCTATTCCATTGAATTGTATGGTTTACAACTTCCCATGACATATCTTTGTCATGTTCTGTTTAAATATCCGTTAAACAATCGCTTGTGTTTGCCTTTCAGATAACAGTACAGAGTCACACTTTAAACTCTTGATAAGATACCCATAAATTTGAAAAGAAATAGTAAATGTACCTGTTCCATTCATACTGCAAAAAAATATGAACATGACTGCATGCTTTATGTAAACATACAGGAAGAAAAATGCATAAACAAATTATAAAGAAATATCTAATAAGGAAACTTATAAAAGCATTGTATTGATCCATCATATATATCGCAAATTTTCTCTAAAATTATGTTACACTGTCTGAGTTAATCTTTTATAAGTTGTCACTATTATATTGTAAGACAGAGGATGCATACAGAAATTTGGTTTCCTTTGATGGCACACGTGATATCTTTAAGTTTAGGAATATTAATTCGATTTGTTTCCACTCCGTTATCGGTCGATGCATATTGTATCTGATTTGTAGTTTTTTTTTGTCGAAGTATGTTGATCATCAAGAGTCTATCACAAAGAGACAGCCGAATTCTAATCACCATTATCATCTCATCAAAACACAAAAAAGCTAGCATTATCCTTTGACTTCACGTTTCGCTATATACATGTAGATGATGACCCTTCATTTAATAATTCAAAATTTAGTGACTATGTTGAACGCATCTATCCAGTCACACCAAAAGATACAACTTATCTATAGAAACCGGATATATCCCTTGCCACGTATATATTATAATACTATATAATGCACCTTGCACCTTACACCATTACATTAGTCCTCATGCACCATAAACCATACATTTTTCCCTTTTAACTGTCTCACTTGAATCATGTGGTTATCACACAATTCACAATTACAGACAGTGTTAAGTGGTTAAAAACAATACATCTTCTATGAGATTAATGAAATAAAAAATATCATATACTAAATCTCACGCATCATAAATATGGTCATTGAATCATGCACTTTTTTTCATTACCGATACACCACACACGCTTACATGATATATATCAAACACTATCACATTAAACACCATACCCTACTTTACGATCACCATTTACATTTTTTAGTTTACACAATTCAAGGGCTTGAGTCGTCTAATTGGCCGAGCTCGTCATATTCTCAGTCGTGCCTCTCTTTTTCAGATTATCAATTAATTAATAGCGTTGAGGTTCATTTATCGGTAAACAACTCTGATCTCAGATTAGCCTTATAAAGGTCGGATGGATGATGAACGAAATGTGATGAAAATTCTTTATACGATCAATTTGAAAACGGAGGTACAACTAAAATCAATCATTTATGATATTCATTAGAGTTTACAGTTATTATCAAACATCAATTAACGTTTCATAAGCTAACCCCCCTCCCAATACCCTGCAAGGGTGACTGGGGAATAGAAAAGTATAGTCATCATTGGTATTCCTTCGACCAGCAGTAAAACCCTCGCCAAAGTGGGGCCTCTGTTTGGCTGTGCGGGATGTACAAATTTGCAGCCTCGTCCGGTCAGAATGGAGACGTTATATCCGATGCCTCGTGTAAAGAGAGTGCCACGCTTTTGCACATTAAGAACTCTTGCATCAATTCTTAGAGGGGTCCGTAGGTGACCTGTTGCAAGGCTAAATGTCTGTCAATATCCAACATACCCTCATTTCCCGTGGCAGTCTAGATTTCTCCGACCTATATTGCAGAATCTACCTATTGTATTTATAGCAAATTTATACTCGTCCTGACAATTGTATTTATTAAATAAAAAGTAAATCAAAAATGTATTCATACATTGTCATATATAATGAATAATTACGCCATATTTGATTATAACGATAAATCATTCAAAAACGTTATTTTATTTTGTTTAATTCTCTCTTGGATCTTCCTTTTAAAATAGAGAGAGGATATAACAATACTGTAAATACGTGCTATTAAAATCATTAGCAAGTATTTGTTTCCTACTGTATGTAACAATGTTAACTTAATTGAAAATCCCATACACTATTTTTGAATGAAAATCCCTACAAATGTACTTATAGTGACCTAAGTTTAAAGTCTATTTGTTTCCGCGATCGATTACTAAATACGGCATATTTAACTGGGATTTCCGACATATGATATTTATAGTTCATTGTGCAAAGCAGTTTATGACTGATGATTGATCATTTATTTTAGCTAATATTTCAGTAACAATATGATTTTTTAAAAGTATAAAATCTTTGAAAGTGTACGTGTGTACCTGATAAGATATTGTGAATACTTAGACCATAATACTGTTTGTGCTCCTCTCGTTGTTGTTTAAGAGCATATGTGAGGGAAACTACTATTTTATTGTAATTAATACATAATAGTGTCTCTAGATGACAAGTTATTATCGTTCAAACAAGAAAAAACAAACTGATATAGAAAAGAACGTTAAACTTTATCAGATCAACTAGGTTCTATTATCATATATAATGCTCAAACTGTTTCAAATGACTGCAACACATCTGCAATTTACTACATATCAAAAATTAAAAATTTATTTCGAAATATAACAAAGCTTTTTTTTTAATACAAATGGCATTGTCTATTACAATGTCACTCTCTTTTACCATGCACAATGAGAAAGATTGCAAAAATGTGAAGTTAGTATAATGTTTTCTAGTTACATGTATGTCGTTATTTGATATTCCCAATTCTTTGTAATATAGCATTGTATAGTGTTTGACAAAAAATGTACTTAATATATTGATAATTCCAATTTGCTTTCTAAAATCTACTTGATTGATAACCAGTATATTCCAACGATTAAAAAAACGTTTTTCCTGTCTTAAAACACAAGAAATGTTAGATTGATGTCAAAACCGTTGATTCAACATACCGTCATTTAATATTTGCGATGTATAGCTAGTTTTGTACAATTGTATCAAATGAATTTGTCTACACAGCTGCCATATATATGTGTTTTCATGCAATTTGAAAGTACACGGCCAGTATACAAATAGTCTGAACAGCCAGTTTGATGTAAACATGTTCTGGAATATTGATCATCGAAATGTTAAATCATAATTTCGAGATTTTGTGTTTTTAAAAACAGTTTAAGAAATCAAGTAGCTGTTCAAATGTTGTCAGTATATTGATAATCAAAGAGTCAAAATACAAATAGTCTGAGGTTACCTCGTGAACTATATGCGGAAAGAGACCGAGTACGTCCCCTGTTGTGATAATGAGATAAACAAATGACTATCAGATCGAATACATGATTCTTGGTTCCCTAATAACACAGATTACACTAGCATTTTAGATCAACATTTATTAACTAATGTAAAATTCTAAAATCAAAGTTTTCTATTTGGCGTAATCGTAAACTTTATCAAAATCAAACTGCCTTATAAACTTCAAAAGATTTTCAAAAAATAACACAATGTTGAAATTGATGAAATTTAATTAAAGCTTGAAAGTAGTATCAATTGATGCTACAGACTCTTTTCACACCGCTTAGTACCAATGTCTGAAAAAAAATCAATTTCAATGTAAATGAGATGAAGAATAAACATCAAAGAGTCAGCAACGTAATGAACGAAAACAAAAAGACAACAGGTGGAGGTCAGCATTGTGTTTTCTACTTAATATAAAAGGTAATTTTCTCAATATTCAAATACAGTTTTGAATAAGTTGTGCTATTGTAAAACATTTTTGTATTCTTGTCTTTCATTTTTGCTAATGTGCTTTGTCTTTATGTCTTTTTATGTTTCTTTGATACATATATGACGTGGCTCTGTACTTATACATCCCGTCATTGTGTTAGTATACTATGGTAAATTTGTGTATTATTGTCTTTAGTTTTTGCTGGTGTGCTTGGTCTATATGCCATTTTGTGCTTCTTTGTTATTTCTTAGTTTGTTTTTATAGTGATTAAGATTATAACACAATGTTGACTGTTGTACCCTTATTTTTGACATTTTTACCTATTGTGTCTGTTTGTTTTGTTCACACATCGTTGTCAATATAATGGAATTTGATGCGACTGTCATACAAGTGAGAGGTTTAGCTAGCTTTAAATCCAGGTTTAATCCACATTTTTCTACATAAGAAATGACTGTACCAAGTCAGGAATATGACAGTTGTTATCCATTCGTTTGATGTGTTTGAGCTTTTGATTTTGCCTCTTGATTAGGGACTTTCCTTTTTGAATTTTCATCAGAGTTCAGTATTGTTGTGATTTAACTTTTTTTTTTTGAACAAGAGGCCCGAGAAAACAGTAATTTTGTAGTGCATTTCTTTTAGAATATAATTGAAAATTAAAAAAATCCCCCCTACGTTTTCTCAATAATATTATTTCAAGGTGTTGTACTACTTTTGGGACAAATTATATCAAAAGTATAGACAACTTCATCAGCTCTAACTCAAAATGTTAAGGGGGTCTTGCAATCTGTTGACAGCTTCCGAAATTCTATTTTTTAACCTTTTTCAGCTGGACCAAATCATTACTTTACTTTAAAATTAATGACCCTTTTTTAAAAGTGTAATTGCATCCCCCTTCTTGCTATTAGTGGCATAAAACATGAAGAAATGAATTTAGAAGGGTATCATAAAAATATGCAAGTAATACACTGTTCACATTAAGGACTATATTCGTGGACAACGACAATCAAAGAACGATAACTGTGTTCCCGGGCCTAGAAATATCACAATTTACTTTTCGACACTTAATTATCAAAATGACGATTAACATTAAGATATGACAAAATGCAAGAACATTGCATACTAGTACATAAAGAGCACGTCTAAATAAAATAACGGTATGACAGATAACACAAATCATAGTTCAAACAAACTGTGAAAACAACAATGCGACCGAATTTACCTTTATTATGTACACTCAAATCCGAATAAGGGGATATGTTCTAAATTCATAAGATCAACAGTTAAAAGTTGTTATCATAAGACCTTAATTTCTAAAATGCCTATGTAATAATGCATCGAAATGACATCGGCATTTGTAAAAAGTTTTAAATAAATTCTACTCAAACAAACCGCACATAAGATTGCCGACACAACTAGAATATGGAGTGTATTAGTATATATGTACAATACGTCGTCACATAAAAATTAACGTTTTCACACTCATTATAAACGAATTTATAATGTTTTACGTTATGCAATTTGACCGACCAAACCGGACAAGTAATGTTAAATCATTGCGTACTTGTGTCTCTTTTAACCTCAATGAAAAAATAAGCTTATCCGTTGTTTTCCTCTAATAGTTGATATGTTTCCCTCAGTTTTAGTGTGTAATCCAGATTTGTTTTCTCTTAATCGATTCATGACTATTGAACAGCGGTATACTACTGCTGCCTTTATTTAGTCATGTTAATTGGACCATAATTGTTTCCATTTGTTAAGGCATAATTACAGGTACTACTAACTCTATAGGCTGATATTAAGTACTGTTCATAACCATTTAAAACATAATTAAGTAAGTGTCGATCTGTATTCTACTTAATGCATAGCTGTGATACAGTCAAACAATAATTACAAAAAATCTTAATAACAACACACGAATATGAAAAAAGAAAATATAATAAATCATACGGTAAAAATGGTAACAAGATGTTGCATCTTTTATATTCATGTCTTACAAGCTTAATTGTGTTTTTATTCAAAAGAAGCAGATTTCATAAAGAACTTTCTCAAGTAGAGAAAGAAAACAAATTTAGTTACCTTGATATGTAACTTGATAATGGGTTTTTACTTTTTAGCACCGGTAACATACTGTTTTCCCAAAAAAGGAAATGGATGGACATCACTCGTATACTTTTGAAATAATATCATATCGTGTCAATATTTTTTACCTTTTTCGATGGTGAATTCCTTGACATTTATTCAACAAGATTGGTTTCTTCAAGTTCCTTTCTTTTTCTTTTCCTGTGGATACTAAACAAATAAGTATAAGTCTGAGTATGATATATGTAATTGTGATGACAACAATGACCATGATGGCGATCATGATCCTCATCAACGATGTCACGAAATTTAAGATTAAATTAACTTTAACTTAAAAGCTTAAAAAATGAAATGCATATGATGATAATAAAACAACAGGAAATGTTAATAATAGCTTGATGTCTATATTGCATTAGTTTGAGTATATTTTCGAAATAAAAAAGAACATTGCATGTATGCTTATCATGAATACAAACCACCAAAATCATCAACAGCAAAGTGGCAGTGTTCCCAATAAATAATTAACAGTTTATTACATTATACCTCTTTTTAGTTTTTGAACGATGAAACTACTTGCACAAAACATCAAACTGCAACCACAACAGCAAGCAATGTATATATAGACATAGAAATTGTGATCTACAAAATAAACGAACATTTAACTTTAGTACAACCAATATATTTTTTGTTCAATACATTATGCATTTTTTTCAAACAATATGTTTTCCCATTTGAATATTGTATATGTGAGAGATGAGAACGGTTGGATTTTGATGAATCTGTTTTTTAACATTATGTTTAACACACAACGTATTTGAACTCGAAGATAAGCTGTTCACATGTTCCGGTGACACTAGATGAGAATTAATCCGCCACAGATTTTGTGTTCTCTTTTTTTTTATTTTGTGGAGGTTAACTGTTGTTTTATCTTTTTATTTTTTTGTTGTTTTTTCTTCTTGACCATGCTCTTGTTTATTGTGCTGTCTGTTTTCGACATGTGGTTTTTTTATTTTACAGATAATATTCGTATCTGTCATTGACTATAACTTTTCGACATATTAATGCTTTATTTTATTCAGGGAAACGATAACAATGCAAATCTATGGGGTTCGTGATGCATAGTCTTTAGTTTACTATGTTGTGTCATCTGTACTATTATTTGTCTGTTTGCCTTTTTATTTTTGGCCATGGCGTTGTCAGTTTGTTTTCGATCTATGATTTTGACTGTCCCTCTGGTATCTGTCGTCCCTCTTTGCGGAAGAAAGATAAGAAGTTAGCAATATCCTTTAACTCTACGTTCCGCTATATAGATGATGTTCTCTCACTAAATAATACAAAATTTGGTGACTATGTTGAACGAATCTATCCCATCGAACTAGAGATAAAGGATACTACAGATACAGTTAAGTCTGCCTCATATCTTGACTTACATCTAGACATTGACAATGAGGGTCGGTTGAAAACAAAACTTTACGACAAAAGAGATGATTTCAGCTTCCCAATTGTGAACTTTCCATTTCTATGTAGCAACATTCCAGCAGCGCCTGCATACGGAGTTTATATCTCCCAATTGATACGATTATCCCGGGCTTGTGTTTCCTATCATGATTTCCTTGATAGAGGATTGCTGCTCACAAGGAAGCTATTAGGCCAAGAGTTCCAAATGGTGAAGTTGAAATCATCCCTTCGTTAATTTTACGGACGCCATCACGAGTTGGTTGGCCGTTATGGAATAACCGTTTCACAGATGATATCGGATTTGTTCCTTATGTCGTAACTACAATACCCTTCTCTTTTCACGAATGTGACTTACCGAATTAGACTATTTACCGGATTTGTAATAGCATAAGCAACACGACGGGTGCCACATGTGGAGCAGGATCTGCTTATCCTTCCGGAGCACCTGAGATCACCCCCAGTTTTTGGTGGGGTTCGTGTTGCTTAGTCTTTAGTTTTCTATGTTGTGTCATCTGTACTATTATTTGTCTGTTTGTCTTTTTATTTTTGGCCATGGCGTTGTCAGTTTGTTTTCGATCTATGAGTTTGACTGTCCCTCTGGTATCGATCGTCCCTCTTCTATGGCTATTTTTTTGTATTGTTATATCATTAAAAGTCATTATCATTTGACTTACGTTTGACATTGATATATTGTTCAGTAAAATTAAAGGTTACATGTATCTCTGGTAGTGTTGTCTGCTCTTTTTTCTCTTGAAAAAGGAAAGAAATTCGTACATGTCTTAAATAGCTTTTGAATCAGTTGAATATCAAAATCGAAAAAGTAAACCATCAAAAAAAATATAGAAAAAGAAATATAAGATAAGCTGAAAAAGTATATTTTCTGTCACATGCCATTTTGAATGTAATTCGATCTATTAATAAGTTAAGCTGCCTAGATTTTTTTATTACAAAAATGTTTGAGATATCTAAGGCTTTAAGTCTCTTGGAATACATGTTCCTTATTGCTTAAAACTGTTCATAAGCTACACCTTATATTCAGTATCTACAATACGTATTCCAGAAAATCGTTCATCTTGTAAGACATGTTAGAGCAATATCAACAGTTTATGAATTGTGGCAATATCAAAACAAAACATGTATTGATGAATTTGGAAGTGAAAAATATTCGCATCCACATGAGTAAATGGGATCATCACGATAATCTAAATGCGTGATTGGAAATCAGATATCACGCATCACAACATATTTGCGTAAAGTGTATGCATATTGTAATTCTAAGGTATCAAGCATAGTTTTCCTTGATTGTTTAGAGCCCAAGCGTTATTTCAGCTTCGATGTCTTTGGTAACTTGTAAACAAAATCAAAGATTATTCATATTTAATTTTGTAGACTATGTAAACAAAGTTTATTCAGATAATCGTCAACACTGTGTAAACAAAAGTTATTCACAAACAAGTGTGGTTTAGCCAGGTGCAGTGTCAGTATACAGCATAATAAATAATAGAATTTAAGTTGATAGAATGGTTGATCACTTACTTTCTGATTCTGTAGAATGGCCTGTTATTGACGTGTTCTTGTCATCAAGAGTTGAACCTAGATTACAAATTAATAACACAAACAGTTAAACGCTAGACATGTTGACGGAATACCTTACCTGATAACCTGATATTTTTATGTGTTTGTTCAAAAGAGGTAAAAACAACATATTGCCATTCTACCATTAGGTTAAGTAGTTGTTTGTTTCCATTGTAATATAATTTGTGCTTTTATGTGACTAAACAAACAAAGACAAGAGTAACAGGTAGTCTAATAATAAAGTTGGCAATGTTCGACTCTCAGCTTTCCATTCTGCTATAGTGCCTATTGAGAATCAAAAAATGTAAATTCTAATTAAAGACTTCTTGCTACACTTGCTTGATGTACTCTATGTTTGTTTTGTCATCTAGACATAATGACAAACAAAATGGGAAATAAACACCAGTTTATGTGTATTACAATCTTTTACAAAATACTGCATGATAGTCTTTCCGGTGAATATTCAAAATTTGACTTCCTCCTTAACGACATATTTTATTGATTTATGACTCTGAACCTGTTTTAATTATTCTTATTTATCCTCGAAATGTGACATTTTATTGTCTACATGTATGGAAATCATGCGTATTTCAAAACCATGGTATAAAGATTTGAAGTAATACAATTATTTAAAGCCATACAGCGAAATATAGTTGCTTAATTCCACATTATTTGATTTTTTTGGGGGATTTTATTCTTATTGGCAATCACACCACATAACCTTATTTTATATTCTAGTTACCGTGTGGTACAACGACCTTACTACTGAAGTTTAAAAGGATCACTTTTTTTAAATTTAATTATAATGCGTGTAAATTGTATGAAAACAAAACAGTTTTGTTAAGATTTTGTTAAGATGTTTTAATTCATCATATTCATGATAGTTAAACAAATGTACTTACTTTCCAGAGTGACTGTATATATTCCATCAGTTGACGGTGGGGTAAGTAAACACGTATATTTTCCTTCGTCAGAAATTTGTGCATTGTTGATCCGAAGAAACAGTTCTTTTGTAACCTCGTATCTGAATGAATTGTTACACATTGTGTTCAATTTGTTTCCAATCCAGATAACTTTCGTTTTGAATAGCCAAGTGACATTAGATGTTGAGATATTCAGATGACATTCTAACAGAAGATCTGTTCCGGGGATGTATTGCTTTATATTTATGACAGGAATGACTGCTGAAAACAAATACGCAGATAAGTATATATTTACCTTCTTCATGTTCTTCCAAATTAAGACATGTATTTGTTTTTTTAAAGACTTGTGTTCCCAATTATTTTGATCAATTAGTTCGTATGATAAACACTCAAATCTTTCTATTCATAACGAGGTAAAAGTGTAGATTTCTGACAATAAAGTGTATAAGTCAATAGAAGTCAATCAAATAACAAAATATCACAATGTATATGGAGATAGTAATATTAATTACGTACAAAATATATCATTCTTTGAATTAACTTTACTCTAGACAAATGAACAGTGGAGATCACTTCTAACCTCTCATCAAATCTGTCAGAATCTGTCAGGAGAACTGTTTTAGGACAGTATGTAGAACTGTCATCCTGGCACCTTTTAGACAGTTCTAGCTAGAACAGTTCTAACCTAGAACTGATTTGGTCAGTTCTACCTAGAACTGATTAAGACAGTTCTACCTTTAACTGATTTAGACAGTTCTACCTAGAACTGATCCTGACAGTTATACCCTAGAACAGTTTTAGACAGTTCTACCTAGAAATGACCAAATATTTGGTCAGTTCTACGACTAGAACAGTTCTACGGCTAGAACAGTTCTACAACTAGAACAGTTCTACGATTAGAACTGATTTTGTCAGTTCTAATGCTAGAATTGATTTAGTCAGTTCTATCCGTAGAACAGTTTTAAGAACTCTTTGTCTTAAATATAAATAAGTCAAAAGAATATAATATATATTAAAAAATTGCAGTGACGTCATTTAGAACTGTTCTACAATCCTGACAGGTTTGGTCAGTTCTACGGCAAGAACAATTTTAGACAGTTCTGCTGACAGTTCTACGGTTAGAACTGATTTAGCCAGTTCTGTTGACAGTTCTACGGTTAGAACTGATTTGGTCAGTTCTGCTGACAGTTCTACGACAAGAACTGATTTGGACAGTTCTACCTAGAACAGTTTTAGACAGTTCTACACTAGAACTTATCCTGACAGTTCTACCTAGAACTTATCCTAACAGTTCTACCTAGAACTGATTTGGTCAGTTCTACCTAGAACTGATTCTGACAGTTCTACTTAGAACAGTTCTAGGGTAGAACTGTTCTAGGTAGAACTGTTCTAGGACAGTTTAGAACAGTTCTATGACAGATTATTCTGACAGTTCTAATGAGAGGTTAGAAGTGATCTCCACTGTACATTGTAATCAACTAAAGGCAACCGTACGGCCTTCATGAAAGAACACATATTTATAGTCGGCTATAAAGGCCCCGAAATGCAAAATATGAAACAACTAAATTGAGAAAACTTACGGCCTAATTTATAACAAAACAGTTTACGAAAACCAATTATGGTCGACAAGAACCAACGACAACCGCTTAACTACAGGCTCCTGACTTGGGACAGAAACATAAAGAATGAGGCGGGGTAAAAATGTTTGTGAGAGCTTAGTCCCCTAACATTGGACAATGGTGTTTCAGTACAATATAAGAGCATACACATGCAATATCGATCAGCTTAAACATGTGGAACTTGGAGTCGTTGGTTGAATCATAGCATGCATTATCCAGGTCTAAAATACAACAACAGGCTCATCTGGATCTATGTGCAATTTCAGAACACTCTCCAACATTGTAGACCAGAAAGTTATTCTATCTTCCTACGTTTTGCCCAAAAAGCAAAATAATAAAAAGGCGTAAAGGGATCTTTTTTTCTTTTTTGGCGGATCTTATCCCTATAAGGAGCCTCCACTGATTGTAAATCTTCTCCTGTGAATCATGTTTGCCTTTTTGAAATTTCTATCTAAGCTACCTGTTATACTTTTCTAGATAAAAGGCAAAACAGAAAACTCCATTTGAAAGGACAAGTAAACTTGACTTGTATATGATGTAATCATAAATGGAATAAGCGCGGTTGGATGTTAATTTCAATGTAAAAATGTTCACTGAATTGATTGTCAATAAATTAGCCTCTCTTGTAGTATTAACTGATGCATACCTCCTTTGCATACTGATAGGAATATAACAACAATACAGCTTATGTGCATTTCTTTCAAGGTCATGTCATTTCTATCTCCTGCAAAAAAAGGAGAAAAAATATAATATATAATATCAATGTTGTTGAGTGTAATAAACTTCAAATTTCAAATCATAGTGCAACATAACATATGTAAAAAGTAAAATCACAAAAAACTGAACTCCGATGAAAATTCAAAAAGGAATGTTCTTAAACAAATGGCAAAATCAAAAGCTCAAACACATCAAACAAATGATAACAACTGTCATATTCCTGACTTGGCACAGGCATTTTCTTATGTAGGAAATGGTGGATTAAACCAGGTTTTAAAGCTAGCTAAACTTCTCACTTGTATGACAGTGGCATCAAATTCCATTATATTGACAACGATGTGTGAACAAAACAAACAGACATAATCGGTAAAAATTTCAAAAATAGGTACTGTAACAATCATTTGTATAAAGGACGAAATATATGTTTACATAACAATTAGAAGTTTATGATATATACATTTACTCTTTTTAATTAACAAAACACATACAAATTCATTAAGGTTAAGATTCAGTCTACCATTAACTAATTTTAACGAATTAAAATAATTAATAATAAAAAAAAAAATATTTTAAAAGAATCCTATTTACCTCGTTTGTGAATGAACATTTAGTCTACTACATCGTATTATTTCCTTATTTACTATGTTTCCGTTATGACCTGTTAAATGGGTCAGCTAGTGTGTTAATGAATAGAAATCTCAATTATTAACAGTACTTTTGTGCATTGAGTATTGATATGCACAAAATCGTATCTTTTTAATTCAATAAGACTTGTTAATTTAAACAATCAATCCAACGATTCAAAAGCTTTGCAACTGTCTCATAAAAATAGAGAAACTCTCTTACTACCATTTAAAAAAAATGCTTAAACGATTGATATTTATTATAATCTTAGAAGGCGTTTAAACAGCATGTTTTTCTCACTTTTTTCATTCTTATTGTCTGTCTTTTATTCAATATATAAGAAGATATGATATTATTGCCAATGAGATAACTTTCCACCAGAGACCAAATGACAATGAACGAAATACATATATGACACAGAAACAAACGACTACCACTGATATACCGGCTCCTGACTTTGGAAAGGCACATACAGAATGTATGTATTTCATACGTAATTTTTATTTGTTGCAATTTTGTATTGCTGTTGCTGTTGTCTTTTTAGTCAACATGTTATGTTTCTTTCAGTAAATTTCAAAACTTTCGTGCTTCTTTCAAATTGCATTTTTGGGTCCTTTAAAGCTTGCTGTTCAGTGTGAGCCAAGGCTCCCTGTTGAAGGCCGTACTTTGACCTATACTGGTTTATTTTTTTACAAATTGTGACTTGGATGGAGAGTTGTCTCATAGGCACGCATACCACATCTTCTTATATCTATTTGATACATGAATTTTTATTAGTTGTTATTGCTTTGAACAAGCTACCAGTAACTGCAAGTACTCTCAGGTCTGTACTTTGTCTTTTTATTATTATTAAGGCATGTGTAAAAACCCTGTCACGACCGGTCGTTGTTTTTGTGAGATGTTTCTTCTGCTTTGTATCGATCTGTTGAGTTAAGTCCTTTCAACCGGTTTTTATAGTTTCTTTGATGGAGAGTTGTCTCATTGGCACTCATGCCACATCGTCTTATATCTATTTGTTAAGTCGTATTAAAAATTGTGAATAAATGTAAAACTTACGTTTACCACTATTTAGTTCGTATGGTAAACACTTAAACCTTTCTATTCAAAACGAAAGTGTAGATTACGAAAAATATAGTGGATATGTCAGTGAAGACCCAATCAAATCGGTGCACACCATTTGCGCGCATTCGAATTACATTTGCGCGTAAAAATAATTTCGTTTGTGCACAGCTTTTGATAACAGGTAAACACATGCATATTACCATTATTCGTTTATTTATTCTATTTGCAAGAAATCCCTTCCGCTAGTCCGGTTTCCCTACTGAGAAGGTAAACTCGGATTTCGTGCACGATAAGTTAGTTTTAATATGCACAACTCTAAGTCCTGGAAATAAAAGTAAAAGGTTTAAAAACTCTTATTCTATTTTTAGATATTTCTGTTAGTTTCAATGTGATTTGAAAGATGCACGAAAGTTTTGAAATTTGCTAAAACAAACCTGAACACTTCAACCTTTATTTTTCTACTATATTTAAGCTGCAGAAGCAAGCGGTTTTTTTTGTTTGTTTTTGTTTTTGTTTTTATTATGCAGTAGAGACATTTTTATAACTGTAGGGTCCGTGTATATTTGCGTCCATTTGTTTTTCGTTTTGAAATATCAAAAACAAAAAACGAAAAACGAAAGTTTTTCATTTCTAAAAAACCAAAATGAAAAACAAAAGTGTTTTCGTTTTTCGTTTTTGATTTCTCAAAAAACTAAAACGGAAAACGAAAGTGTTTTCATTTTTCGTTTTTGTTTTTTTCAAAAACCAAAATGAAAATCAAAAGTGTTTTTGTTTTTCGTTTTTGATTTCACTAAACAAGAAAAACATCTACATTTGGATTCAATATCTGTATTTTGTTCTATCTAATTCTCGTTTTACGTTGTACAATGTTTTCCTTTCTTTTTACATAGCCATCGGAACCCCAGTGTATTATCTACTTAATGTAGACAGAATAGACTAGCTGATTTATGATTTGAACTAAGGTGATTAATGAATCAAAGACTTTCAAATTTTCTTGTTTTTATCTATAATAAAATATAAAATTACTATATCTAAATATTAAATGAATCACAAATTAAAATAATACAATGAAATATTGTATAAAGATGGTAAAAATAAAACGATTGATTACAACATCACATTAACAAGGGAGGTTACTACTTATCTGATAAGAAAACTAGCCCTGTCGTTAAAGTATGCACAGCGGTTATCAGATCAATAATATTTAAATCGGAGATAATGTCGACAAATGGAAAAGACTTTATTAATCTGAACAATAAGGATGCATGATCTTTACTTTTAAGATTATCAGAATTGCATGATGACTGAGGACAATCAGCCAATGTTACACGAACATTCAAGCTCAGCATTTAAGACGGTAATATGTATACGCTATTTAGATAATTTTTTTAAAAAGTTCACACTCGAAGTCGAGGTTTAGGAGGCCATCTTAAGAGTCACCAGGAAGCAGTCAAAAAGAAGATGTCTATCACGATGCTCGGCACATTATTGTACTTCCCGCCTTACTTGATTTATATCAAAATATAAAATATGTGATAAAATTGCTACGACTTTTTTTATCAAGTCTCAAATCACAAAACATAAGGTTGTAAGACTAATTGAGTTTGATCAGTTTCTTATTATTTTGCCTCAATAATTGGTGGTTTATTTTGTTCGTTTTGACTTTGCGTGGTGGCAATAAAGATATTTTGATAATCATTCATAACCGTGAACTTGTTGGACCATTTTTTTCAAGCAGTAAAGCATCGAAACTTAATTGTTGGCAGCATGTTGGGTGAACCACAGAAATAGCCAAAAGCACAGGCACTTGAGAAACATGTGATTTTCCTCCAATTTGCAGGAATAAAGGGGGGGGGTCTTTAAATGTGACGAGGTCAATTTTCCCTGGACTTATTTCACTCATAGGGTCAAAATCTAAAATTGGTCTGCACATTGAAAATTGAAGATGACGTTATATATTGTAACAATGTTTTACATATTCCCTTGAAATCAAAATACTATTCAGTGCTATTTGTTTAGGTTGAAGGCATTGTAAAACAAAATTGCAAAGGGTTAGAGCCTAATTCTCAATAACTTTTTTTCACTCATAGGGTCCAAAATGTGTTTTTCATATCTTTATCAGACTTGAAATGTAATATAAAAAGGTTTAAATTATATATTTAAAATATCTTTTTGTAATTTTAGTTCATTTATATGTTTAGGAGTTTAGTGTGACGTCCATTTTCACTGAACTAGTACACATTTTTGTTCATGTGCCAGCTGAAGACCGTCCGGGTGCGGGATTTTCTCGCTGTGTTGAAAATTCATTGGTGGCCTTGGTCTTTTTTTTTTTGCTCTTTGGTCGGGTTGCTGTCTTTTTGACACAATTTCCTAATTTCAATTCTCAATTCTTTTTTGACAATTTTAGACATAAATTTCCATAAACTCAAAATGCTATTCAGCGTTTCATCTTGCATGCTGTTGAAGATACAAATTTGCGTTTTTGTCAAATTTGGCATCGAAGGCCGTCGATAGCAAAATTGAATTAGTGTCCGAAAGACAATTAATAGCTTTACTTCTAACACAATTGTGGATTTGGTTAACGATGACCTTCTTATACGTTTTAGGAATAAATACTAAAAAGCAAAAATTTGTAAAAATCGCGATTTTGAGCTATCTTTAGGCGTTTATAAGTTGATGATACGTTTAAAATCAAGTGATCATATTGTAAAACCCTTAGAGTGTACACTTTGGGATGTGGTACTTTGAATCTAAGTAAACTTTAAGATTGAAAGACTTTTTGTATATGGCCCTGGTTTGAAATAAATAAAAACTTTTGGCTTTGTTAACTATTTCATTTTTGTTTATTCATTTTGACGATAACTACTTAAACGTTGCAAAAATCTTTTAAAAATTTTCCGGTTTGGACTTTTTGCAGACCCTTTAGGCGTTTATAGTTTTGTAATCTGTTTAAGAATTACCATTATATTGTTAGAACCATATAGAACATACATTGGGTTGCGATACGTGTACTTAGAATTTAGTTAAAGATTGATATACTTTTTAACTAGAAGCTCTAAAGAGCCTGTGTCGCTCACCTAGGTTTATGTGCATATTCAACAAAGGACACTCTCCAACATAGAAGACGAGAATAAAATTCATGACAAAAATCTCTGTTTTGTTGGTCTTGTTTTGCTGATCATTTAGTCTGCTTAGTTTCTCTCTATCTTCTCTAGTTTTTGCTCAAAACACAAAAAAGGATATGAAAGTGACTTGTTAGTAGATTTTGCCTTGCTGATCATTTTTGTGATTTAAAATGTCTATTTATCTATTATAATTTTTATCATGTAAAGCAAAACCCCCCAAAAATGATTAAAAATCGTCATTAAAGGGCAATGGCAATTATTCCAAGGACAAGTCGGACGATTTCCTCAATATTGTTTTAATTGTAGATATTGTCTTGCTGATCTTTTTTGCTTATTAAAGTTTCTATCTATCTATTATAATTTTTAAAATATACATTTGTAAGGCAAAAACGAAAACAAATGGTAAAAATCATCATCCAAGGGCAATATCTCTAATAAGGAGTCGGCTGACGATTTCGACAATTGAACTTATTTGTAGAAATTGTTTTGCTGATCATTTTTGCATTTTAATGTTTCTCTGTATCTATTATAGTTTTCAAGATAAAAGGCAAAAATGAAAAAAAAAATGGTAAAATTTGTCATTGTGAATGAAATACTGGGGAAATTGGCCATTAGTCTTCCTTTTGTAAAATTATTTACAATTAATTAATGGGTTCTTTTTGTACAGTAGATACGTGTTAAGAACATAGCGACAGCAAATATATACGGAAGCGAATATGGACCTCGTCTTAGCTTATTGTGTATCTCGGACAAGTTTAAAAATCAGTGCAGATCAACTAAGATTGAGTTGATGAGAGTAAATGCGATTATATAAGTTAATTCAAAATGGAGGAAAAGAGTTTACGTGTG